AGGTATTGTTTGTATTAGAACATTTGAGTTATGAATGATGTTCCATAGTCTGTAACTAATATTTCAAAATGTGAAGCCAGATCATCAGCTGAAGTAGAAAATTATTGTTCTTCAACACCATGACGTTCTTTAGTGTCATCAATTCAGTCAATTTTGTCTACAGAAGAGAAAATGAAAAAGACCATTCATAGGCAACAAACAGTGATCTCAAGATAATTATGCCAAATTAATAAACTGCAGTTGCAATGTCAGACTTCAATGTACTCATCAATGCAACTTAATTTGCTGGCTAAAGGTACATATCAGAAGATTTTTGAATGAGCAAGTTAGATTGACTGGTGTATAAAGTCCATATGGTAGGCATTATGATTTATTCCTGCCCAAAGGCACATCGAATCTGAGTATGTCTCTTTGCAATGCCAACTGAGAGATCACTTCAACAGTGGCTCTCACAATTGCATATGATTATGGGCTTTAATGAACAAGTCTCAACAATGATGAAAAAGAAAAGCAAATCTTTCTCAGCTGACAAGAATGTACATGCACTAACTTTCAATGGAACGAAAATGAATTATTGATATATGTAATACAATAGATGATGTTGGGTTTCAAGATTTCAAAGAGCTGAAAAAAAAGATGATCTGATATCTTAAATGATGTTCTTTTCTGTAAGATCTCGAAAAACAAATGGAAACAACCATTTGCCTATTTCATGCTATCTGGTTCAATTTCAGCAGGAAATCTGAAACTGCTGCTGCTCCAAGTCATGACAAAAATTGAAGAAACTTGTTTCAAGTAAGAGTTACAATTTGTGATCAAGGTCTTAACTATCAAAAAGTAACCTGACTAATTGGAGTCTCAGTGAAGAAGCCTTTTTTCTTAGGTACAAAAATCTTAATATTTCATGTTCAATATGCTACACTTGCTAAAAAGTTTGCATAACAATTTGAAATTCCATGATATTATTATTTGTGATCTTTGAAAAGAGAGCATCTTTCAGGATATAGCAGACTTCTGCATCAGGGACAAGAACAAACAGTTATGTCAGGCACATTAACTTAATATATGTACATTAAGAAGCATAATACTCTGCCCTTTTGCTATGATGAGAGTTAATGCTGCTTCACCAGTCACATTAAAAGTGCTCAGCAAGTAAACACAGAAAATAAAACACCTTAATTTGTTGCTGAGAAATATAATTGAAAAACTAACATTTTCAACCTGATTAACAGGCCATCATCAGGTCTAAAAAACGAAAATGGAACAGATATGTTCCATGTATAGAATATAAATATTTAAATCAAAATTTATAACAAAAATTTTCAAAAATATACAAGAGAAACGGAAGAAAATATAAAAATAACACAAAATAAAATTAAAATATACAAGAGAAATGGAAGAATATATAAAAATAACACAAAATAAACTAAAAAATAAAAAATATAATAAATCTTCCAATAAACTAATTCTAGCTTGAGTTTTCAGTGAACTTTTTAATCATGTATTTCCACGCCGACAACAGGCTCTCAGCATCTATCGCATTTAAACATCCCTCACGTAGCTTACTCCTATATATTTCAATCTTCTCCGCCGTCATTGATAAAGTGGGGAAAGATACTGGTTTTATTTTCGTTATTTAGACCTGATGATGGCCTGTTAATCAGGTTGAAAACATTAGTTTTTCAATTATATTTCTCAGCAACAAATTAAGGTGTTTTATTTTCTGTGCTTCACCAGTCTTTAGTTACATGATTGCACTATTATTTCAGTATTCTTTCATAATTTTTATCTATTACTTTTTAATAATTTTTATTGCTCAATAATAATTTAGAAATATTTAAAAATTGTTTGAAATTCTTTTCCATTCTTATTTTTTTATTGTTTGCTTTATTCACTATAATTTGAATTGTTGCTTTGTATACATTTCTTGTTATATCTTTTTTAAATATTCATTATTTTAATAATAATTAAAAATACATTCAAAATATAATTAATTTCATTTCTTAAAATTTTATATATTAATATTATCAGTAAACCTCACATCAATGTACCTAACCACTCAAATACAAATTTAATTGTTCCTAAAGAAATATAATTCAGGGTCAATTAGGAAAATTGTTCCAACTTCATACAAAGTCAAATAATTACTACACTATGGAGGATCCACTTGAAAAATAAGAGAAGAAGAGAATTAAACTTTCATTGTGCTACTATATATTAAGTTGTTTATTTTCTTTTTTAAATTATTAAACATTCTTACAAACTGCATTATTTCTTTGGTGAATTATATAGCGAACTTAAATAAATTACATAGTGATGAACTTAGTCAACAGAACATTGAATATGTGAATTATAGGCAGAAAATTATAGTACTATTTATTTATAATAAAATAAATAAACACCATGAATCCAAGCACAGATTATTTTTATTACAAGCTAAAATAAAATAGTATGCCCTGGAATTCTTGGTTTAGAAGTACAATCAGTTTTGCTTGCAAATTATCCATTTATGAATGACAATCCCTTTCAAAAATTTCTTTTTCATCATACAACAGAATTAATCTATCATCCTCATCTGCCAGGCCTTTATTCTACTGTTAATCTTCTTAAGACAACATTGAAATCTTTTGGTTATTCTTAGTTATTTCTAAACAAAATTACCATTCACTGTTTCCTACTTTATAAGAGATTCCAACAATATTTTCAATTTCAAAGTGCTTTCAAGCCTTTCAGGTTTATTATCAGTTATACTTACACAGAAGAAATTTTATAAATACCAGACAAAACAAGAGTTAAAACAATTTGAATTTAAAAAGTTTAACGTTATCTCTGCAATCAGAATTGTGCGCTAATAGTCATGATAATAAATTTATTTAATTGTTAAAAATGTTTAATGAGTTCCTAACTTGTTCTACTTAACTAATAGCAATTACTAATTTCTGTTAGGTGTTTCTATTTCAGTGCAATTACTTCATCTAATTCAGTTGATATCTACTTATCTTTCTTTTCATAAATTCAAAGTGATAACACAAACCAGCAACTGTTAAGGATGTTCATATTTTGTGACAACGGAAAAGAGTAAAAGGAAAGAAAGAGAGAAAAAAGAAAGTCTCTTTTCCTGTAAGTATTCATACTTCAAAACAATGAAAGAAAAAAAAATACATGCATTTTAGAAGTTTGCATTTAAAATTTGGTACCTCATAGTTATAATCAAAAGCATGCTCTGAAAGCATATAGGACTGAAAAATTTTAAAAAGTGTATGTCTATGCAGTTAATTAATTTGAGAAGAGAGTGGAAAATATTGTAATTTTATAAAAGAAATTAAAAATGATAATCTCAAAGTACATTTTATTATTTTAGGAAAGTTTTAATTATATATGTAAAGATAATATCTATTCAGATTTTATTAACTTAAGATTTAGAAATGAAAATTGTATTTCATCATATAAATATCTTAAGTTTTTCAAATTTACATTAATTCTACTCATTTCAATTATATTATTCTCCATATGAAGATACAAAGAATGGTAGGCCACCAACAGAGAAAAGTAGAATTTCTGTCAACTTTTCTAACTATATACATAAGTATAATGCACTAAATAATGTCATTTTCTCTTCTCTTTCTCACAAAGTATGAACTGACCTTTAACATAAACACAAAATTATGAAGATCAAAATCATTATTAATTATTTGCTGATTTTATACATTTTTTTATACTAAAGCAATAAATTTGAACCTAACTATATTAAATACAGAATAATCATATCTATTCATTTGATGATTAAATACAAATTAGATCTTTCATTCTCAGAATCATAACTTCTTTATTTTCTGAATTTCAGCCATTTTGCAACATTGTTAGAATTCCTAAACTATTCATTTTGTAGCTAACTCAGTTATTACTAGATTATTTTTGTATTTTGTAACAACATTTACCAAAATTTTGTTTTTGTTTTTTTTTTTATTTTCAAAATTCAAATAAAATTATTAACTGCCACCATTTCCATAACCCTGAATGGAACTCAACAATCAGAACAATATAACATTTTCAATAATGAAATACGTTTTAATTTGAATGAAATGTTTAGGAAAGAAAAATCAAAATTTGATGATAAACTCAACTATAATTAGATATTTATAAACAGTCTAATTTTGTATTTCAACAAATTTAATGCCTGGCCTGAACAACAATAATAAAATATTGAACTTTTGACTAAGTAAGTCATTTTTTAATGTGTAGTATGTAGTTACCATCAAAAAGTTTTGTAAGAATATACATTTACTGAAAATATTTAAATATTAAAATATATTATACTAGCAGACCCCGCCAAGCGTTGTTGTGGCTCAAAATGTATCTATTATAAATTTATAGCACTTCCCCCGTGGGGGGGATTTTTCGAAAAATTTCTTCTTAGTGTACATTCTCTTGACATACCCTATTAAAACGCAATCAAAAACGCAAAAACTCGCATCTAAAATAGTATAAATAGAAGCAGAGTTCTTTACGGTAAGCCTTAATCCTGTCTCTATCCCTTCAGTGGGGGGAATTTCGACACGTATATTACAGTATATAAAAACACGTGCGTATTCGAATGCAGCATTGTGTCAAAATTTCAAAGGAATTGGTAGGAACAAACGAACATTACATTTTTATTTATATAGATAGATAGAAGATGATCTGGTTTAGTTCATTTTCACACAAAAGCGTAATGCCTCACAGAAAAGCAAACTTAGGGTATCATAGAGTGTCGTAGTGCCATCTGTTGGACATAAAACCTTTACCCTAGATGATATAATTTAATTTATATGAATGTTTAATGGAATAATATACAGCCTATGTCCACCCTAAAGTTCCGTTCTAAATATTGGTGAAAGAATTTTTGAAATCGGATGAGTAGTTTCGGAGATTACCTGCTGCAAACAAACTTACATACAAACATTACCTCTTTATAATATTAGTATAGGTTTGGTACGAAGTAAAATAGTTTGTTAGTTTACCTATTTACTGGAATGCCAGGTGAAGTTGCTTTATTAGAAGCATGCTTAACAGATTTGAGCACTTGTTTATTAGCTGCTTTTGGTAATCCTGAACCAGAATTATTAGTTTTAGTTCCTGTAAAAGTAAAATTAATGTATATCAAGATTTAATTTACAATACAGCAAAACATAGCTAATATGCTAATTTAAATATCAAGATATAAACAAAAATCTTCCTATTCTATTGGGTTGTTCGGAAAGTAAGTTCGTTTTTTTTACCACTAGACGGATTAGTGGTATTTTTCCTGCCATTTTCGTTCTAAACCGTATTATCAATATATATTTTGACAGCTGGCATTTTATGGCTTATTTGTAAGAAATTTTGTTTGATTTCGTGCAATTGTTTATTTTTTGTGTCCCATCAAATATGGAAGATCGAAAGCAGCATCTTCAGCATATTTTGTTTTTTTATTACCAAAAAAATAAAAATGCCGTTCAAGAAAGAAAAAATCGTGTGACATGTATGGTGAAGATGCGTTGACAGAACGACAGTGCCAAAACTGGTTTACAAAATTTCGTTCTCGCAATTTCAGTATTGAAGATGCACCACGTTATGGATGGCTAATTGAAGCCAATGAAAACAAAATAAAAGTACCGATTGAAGCAAACTGCCGAATAACAACATGTGTAATCACTAAGAGATTAAATTTGTCAATTTGAACTGTTTATGATTACTTGAAACAAATTGGTTTTGTTTCAAAGCTCAATATATGAATTCCACGAGTTCTTAAAGAAAAATGCTCTATTTGCTGGGATTTTAAGGAAATTTTTTTTGGAGCTTTTACCAGAAAATTTAACTATTGATTCGAAAGTGTACTGCATTTGAGTAAATAAATTGTGTAATATCATCAAACAGAAAAAGCCGGCCAGAATTGATAAAAAAAAAAAAAAAACAGATGTAGTGTTTTACCACAATAATGTCAAATTTCACACAAGTTTGGTAACTTGTCAGAAACTGTTATAACTTAGATGAGACGTGCTATCACACCAACCGTATTCTCCAGATCGAGCACACTCAGATTATTACTTGTTCCGGTCTATAAAATTTTTTTTAACTGTAAGACATTTACTTGAAATGACAATGTCAAAAATCACTTGGATCGGTTTTTTGTAAGCAACGATCAAAACTTTTATGAATGTAAAATCGTGCTACTACCAGAAACGATGACAACAGGTATTTGACCAAAATGGTCAACTTATAATTCAATAAAATATTTATTTATTATAAGAATATTGCGTTTTTTCCACGGAAAAAAAACGAACTTACTTTCTGAACAACCCAATAGTATTAGAAACAATAATACTTATGTGAAGAATGTGTACACCTAGTTTGTTTATGTATGAGATATTTATATGTATGCAATGTCTTAGAATCTTTATTTTTAATAAATTGTTTTAAAAAATTAAACTTTTTAATTTTGGGGTATAGTTTAAAATAAAAAAAAACTTATTTACTATTTATTTTTTTATTATATAGAATGCTTCAAAGCAAATAAATAACAACCATAGATGTATAATAATTTAATGTGCAAACATTTATAAATAAATAACATTTATTCAAATGTTTAAATACTCATTTGTCAAAACCTTGCATTTATTAAAGAATATAATTCAAAAACTAATACTTATCACTTAAAGACTAAATGACCAACAAATAAATTTAAAAAAGTAAAATAAATTAAGATTTCAAAAGAAATTTACTTACCAGATCCACATTTTGAATTTAGAACTGAAGAATTTGGAATGCTTATGGAATCTTGTATAACTTGTGATATCTGACAACTACTGTTTGTTTGATGTTCTGAAATATTAGATACCTGAGGCTGGGTTGATTTTTCTTTCGCTGCTCTATGATCTGCTAATAATTCATCAAAATTCTTTTTCCTTCCTATAACAGCTCTTCGTAATGATAACGAATGAGTCTGAAAAAATTATTATACTCTTATTTAAGAAAACAATTTCTAATTTTTTAAAATCCATTTTCGATATTGTGTAAGTAAGATTAAATGCTATTTACATAAAGTTCTTAGTAATGTAAAAGTTTAAAAGTTGTAAATTTATATATCAGTTTTGAAATGAATTCTACAGAGTTCTGTTTCTTCAGAAATAATATTTAGAAGAATTTATAAATTTAAAGAAAAATTAATTTTTGAACTGATTAAAGAACATTAAAAGGAACTCTAAATAAAATGAATATAGAATAACTAGTTATTATAAAATATTTAGATACATACTTTCAAAATTTAAAATCATCAAATTTCATTAAAATTAATTTCAATTAAATTTGTAATATTTATCTATTCAGAATAAAATAATCAAACAATAACCTTTTTATAATTTATATGATTAATAATTTAACATTTAATGAACTGATCATTTAAAATTAAACAAAGTAATCAAAGATTTTTAAAAATTTAAATACAATGTAAAATTTATAATGAAAATTTATTCTTAAAAGCTACTAAGAAAACTAGTCACTGAAAAATCTTACTGATATTATTGTATTAGAATTAGGCTTAACAATGTTTATGTAAATTACAAATGAATTCATTTAATAATATTACATTCAATAAAGACTAAGCATTTTAAGACAACAATAATTTCTTGAAAAATACTGTAAACAACTGGAGGAAAGGATATTCCTAGTCAAAAATTCAACCTTATAAATTCTGGTAACAAGTTTAATAGAACAAACATTTTCACCAAATTAATTGTCTTTCAGTTAACAAACTATTAAATACAAAGTTTGAACATAAATAGAACAAAAATTTAAACATTACATTAGAATGTACAAATTTTATAACACTTGGATTAATAGAATAAAAACAATAATAAACATGAAATATAATGTTAAAAAATTATTACTGGATTCATAAGATGTGAATTTTTAACTATTTCTTCATTATTATTGAAGGTACTATCACTAAGATTATCAGCACAAAACCTTTCTCACTAATTTCTAGCTGATAATCTTAGAAATAGTTCTAGCTACATATGCATAGTAGGTACTATCACTATCACCATCAACAGTTACATGTGATTTCTATAAAACTGATAAGTTATATCCTAATTTAAAAATTATAAAAATATAATATTAAACTGAAGTGACAAAAAATAAGAATAATTATTTCAAAAAATTTTTTAAATTTATGACTATTATTAATATAATTCCTTACATGTATTTCACATATCACAAAAAAAGAATAATTGAACTTCATTACTTTTATTTTAAAACAGACTATTTGAAAAACTACTTCATGCTCCACTGATCAAGTGAAATTCATAATGTCAAAAGGTGGAATCAAAACATTTAAGAGGTTTTACTTTTCCATTTTCAATTCACATAATTCAGTATTATTCATGCATTTATTAAACAATTTTTTTTCTCACTCTTAAAATTCTATTTTAAATAAAATCCATCCAATAAACAAAGCGTTGATAAATATATCACTCCAACCTTATAGTGCTTTGCAGTTATTTTGTAACATATCTATTTAAAAAAAAAAAAAAAACAGTAGAACCTCGATTATCTGGACTAATTGGGGATGAAGGTAGTCCGGATAAGGAAAAATCTGGATAATCGAAACAAATACTTTAATTTGTCTTTTAATGATAATACAACACGTTTTCTTTTCGATGACATATCGATAATATTAAAGTAAATACTGTATTTAAATCGTGATCAAATTTTCAAGAAACAAACGTTCATATTGAATTTGGACTACTACTGACCAACGCTAACAGACTACCTATTGTTTAAAAGGCCCTCTGGTGGCACAAGAAGGCAGATTTTATAAAATAAAAAGCAGTTGAAAATGCATTTTTATGAATAAAAATTTGACAAACTATTTATCGTTTTATGACGAGTAAAATTTTTTCGTCGTGTTCGCGTTTTTAAGTAATGCATAAACCTTCGAGGCGCAAGGTCCTATGGACCGCGAGGCATAGGCAGTGGCCCATGTCGTCCATGCTTTACGCCGCCCTTGGTCATAGAAATGATGTAATTTGAATATAAATTATTTATAAATACGTATGTCAAGTTATATTTTTATTACTACGTAAAATATATTTCAGAGTTTACGACCACTGTGCTGGGTGAGACGTTGTTGAAGCAAAAAAAGTTATGCATTCCATCACATACATAAACAGTGTTGTAATTCACCAAGTGTAAATCAGCAAATTCGTAAAATTTTTGTTTATTTTGAACAATCCGGACAATCGAAAATCTGGATAATAGAGGTTCTACAGTACATCAAGAGAAGTCAGGAATGATATCTAAGAGCCCTAATGTAATGAAGGATTACTATAAGCCAAATTTGAAATATTGTATAAAAGTGATGCAAAAAATTTGTGAAAAATTCAGAGATTTTACTTCAAAATATAAAAAACAAGGAAAATATTAAATGTTTAAAAAATGCTTTCGTCTTTAAATATATTTTTTTTTAATTTTGATTTAATCTTGATGTGTAAAAAATTCTATAAAAGTATATTTCTTAATACTATATGAAGTTTTTTTCATTACTAAAGAAAAACTAAAAATTAAAGTAAATAAAAATTTATGTATGACAAACCTTGCAGGTTAAGGAACGAGTACATGGTTTCCCAGTTTCTGCAACTTTTACCCCACAATGTTTATTTGGATCATATTCACGATCTATTGGAATAAATAATAGCAATTAAATTATTATTGTATAGTAACAAAATAAAAATAGAATAAATGGAACAAACTATATATATATATATATATATGCNTAATAACAATATTAAAAAATAAAATTAAAAATATTAAAAAATGACCGGCATTGCCAGCATTTGTGATTCTTGAACTGTAGAGAATCCAATTTCATCAGCGTTGTATTTCTTGAGAGAAATTTGTACTTTTCCATTAGTTCTTTTACCAATTTATAGAATATATCGGCCTCTATCATATTAAATGCTATTCATGCTTGTCCCTTCAGATGGAGAATAAGTTTTCCATCTCTAAAGTTTATATCTAATAAGTTTTCCATCTTTAAAAATCCCTCTAGCCAATCTCTTCTTGCCATCTTAAGATTATGACTGAAGATGCTTTTAATTTGGTTTTGGATTGCATATTCATAAATCATTTTTCTGACTTTCAGTGATATGCACCCATAGAAAATTTGATTCAAACATTTGATTTGATCGGCTATTTCTTTTTCTTAGTTAGGGTTAAACACAGTATGGCGGCCTAAGGATGGTTTGAAAACTTTTTCTTTCTTTATTCATTCTTGCAATGTTGAAATGGTAGATTCGTACATCTCGCAGCAGGCCGTATAGAATCTTCGTTTACCACCTTAATGACATTCTGTATAGTTTCTTCCGATCACGAACCTCCGGTTGTCTTTCTATGACTCGTTTCAGCCTACTCACCTAGAATAAAAATAAAAAAAAGAAATCACGTGAATTCAAATCATCATCAATTTAGCAGATATAATACCGGTCAACTGACCGGCATTACATCTGTTAAATTGATACCTGTTACGTCTTGTGGAAAAAAAAAAAAAAAAAAAACGTTATTAGTATAGTATATTAGTATATCCCATGTAATTAGTATATTAGTGTCAGATAAACAGTGGGTCACTGGTTAAGTCCCAAATGACCACTTACTCTGCACAGGCTGGTAAAACCCGATCTCGGGGATGTTGGATGGCTAGGAGGGCAAATCGAGCGGGGAGTGCGTTGGTAAGTCGGCAGGCGTCCTTAATTGACAGGAGACAGGTTAACAAAATAACAAAGCATTTATTGAATTCAACAAATCTAAACTACAAGAGGCAAACTTACTACTAAGGGTAAATGTGGTTATATTAAAATATTAACAGAAATTGGCGACAAATTTTGTAGCTATGTCGCTGACCTAATTTCTAGTTCGAGAGAGAGCACTTTTACAAATTCTAACCCCTAAATACCTCTCCATGGAAGGGAGAGTTGGCGAACGTCAACGGTATGGAAGGGTGTGGTGTCTTCTATCTGTTAGGAGTAGTAAAAACGTATTGAGGTTGGATGTCACGCCAACTTTTATTTTAATTAAAGCTTCTTCAAAAACTTCAGACACTAAATGTATGATTCGAATTCTCTATTCGTTTGATTTGCCTGAGGACGACGTGCATATTTACGTCGAAAGCGCTCGCAAGAATAAAATATATTAATTGTGTTTAACGCCTTAGTGTCTGAAGTCTTCTATCTGATGTCCTCTCTCTGTAGCTGGATCAAGTCCGCTGTATGGAGGTTCAGGAGTCGAGGTGGGCACTATCACAAAGTATAACTTCCTATGACAAATCGCCCTGAGCTTCCGGAGATTCAAGCTTTTATATCATTAGCGTGGGAAAACTGTCATGTGATTGACTTTTGTTGACGATGATGGTGCATTCTTCACACCTAACTGTAAACTTCCTCAGCTAGTCGTTATACAATCAGTGAAATCAGATCTAGTTCAAATTCTTCGGGTTTTTTCCGAAGACAATTAACAGAAAATTTGGATTTTTTTAAAAAACCTGTAAAAATCCGCGAGCTCACATTAGTATATCGCTATTAACCAACTTCCCATTGAATTTTCATCGATGTTAAGCCTAACAAATTTTTAAAAAAAATAATAATTGTCGCTATCGTTCGTTAAAAATTATTTTAAAATTATTTTATTGCTCACAAAACAAACAACCACTCATAATTAGAAAATTAAGCCTCGTTTAAATACTGGCTGCCCTTTAATGGTCGAGCTGTGTTGCCAGCTAAAACACACAAAAATTTAACAAAAATAATATTAAAGTAGCCAAGACATAGCCAAATATTGTAGTGCCACATCACTAGCGGACATTTGAAATTTGCTGACAAGAACGGTCGGTTAACCGATGTGACGGTTAATCAGAGGTCGGATAATCGATGCTCTACTGTATATAATTCTGTAATTTATATTTCAATAAATTTATTTTAAAATTAAGCATACTTTTGGTAAACATTTTATTTATTATTTACTACATCATATAGTAAAATGCTACACAACTGTAGTATTTCCCTGAATAAAAATGGAGCCAATATGCTGGACCTCAAATGTGTATCACTTTGCTGTAGTAGCTAAGCAACAAAGCTTACAAAGTATGAGTATAACTGTAATTGTATTGTATTGGCTGTTCCTTTTCCTAAAAGAAACTGCTATATATTAGGAAATATAATAGCTAATCGTAAATTTATATAAATTATTATTGGTCAATTCGAGTATTAACACAGTTGGAAAAATCTAACAAAATATTGTTCCATATAATAGTTTATTTAATATGATGTTTTTAAGATAATTTTAAAATAAAATACTGAAAAATGTGTTTGTATTGATATATATTATAATTATAAACAAGTCATAATACAATCATATCATATATATACAGTAATTTCAGTTTTACATTAAAATATATTTTTCCTTCTATAGTTATATTTGTATATTTTGCAGGTTTGTTGCAATGTATTTGGTTTTATTCTGTTGAATTTTTTATTTTTAATTAATTAATTTTTTTATTTTAATATACTCGTATTTAAAATAGTAGCATATAGATAGCAGTTTTAAACTTAACCAGTTTAATCTGTAATGTGTATAATGTAAATTAATTAGAATGCTTGCACAAGTTATGTTCTTAAATATCTGAATCCAAAAAAGAGTTATAAAGTAACTCAAAAATGTTAGTTCTGTAAAATATTTTAATGCTGGGTTAAGTAAGTAAAGGATGTTTTTATCACATAAGATATTCTAACTTGCATTAATTTGTCTTGTGTTTGAATTAATCATCACAATATATTTTAGAAGAATGTACATTATTACAAAGGAAAAGTTAATCGTAATACATAACAAAATCACCACACTATATTTGAAGTATATTGAATACTATATCATCTAAATCAGGAGTGAAATAACTTTTTATTATAAAAGAGCTTCTTGTCTTGAAAATTGTTGAAACTAATATCTCAAACACTATAGTAGAGATAACAGACTTATCACACTGCTACTGGTAACATCAAAGTAACACTTCTATCATCAGAATGGAACTTTATTATTGGTATGCATTTCAATACACAAGATCCTCATCAGCCATACATAAAAAGTGTGTAGATATCTACAATAAAAATATATTTAAATACAATTGAAATAACTCAAAAAGTTTAAGACTCCATTACAAAAGAAAACACAAATATAATTAATATTTTGCAAAAAACTGAGTGGTCTATACTTTTAATTGTAACTGTGGCCTTCGTTATACTTATGTAGGAGAAATTGGAAGAACTTTGGATGCTATATTATCAGAACATATATGATCAATTAAATATGCTTATGTATACTTGGCAGTGGCTATGCATTGAAATGAGTATGGCTGTGAAATAAATAAATCATCAAATAAACATTATTTAATAGATAGACAATATTACAAGCATTTAAGACGTTGATGAAAAATATAGAATAAACAATCATGAAGAAAGAGTAATATGTAAAACCTGGTTTCATTTTTACTCAATAGGAAGAGGGGTAATAATAGTTGCACAATACTGTGATGTGAATAGTAATTGCAACTGCTATATAGTGGATTAACAAGATATTTTCTTTTTAGATATTGTAGATGATTGTTTTTTAAACTGGTGATATATAATTAAAATCTTTGTAATGGGACTTAAATTATATTAATTAAAGCCTGTTTATAATGTAATCCTCATAGTATTGTGCAGTGTGGGTGAAAATAAATCTTGAACAGGTCTGTTTGTAAACCAGTATTATACGTACAGTGGTACCTTGGTATACGTCTGGTTTAGAATACATGAATACATCCAATTTGGAATACGTCCTGTTTGAACGAAACAAATTTTGCTCGGTATATGACTTTTGTTCGGTATACAACTTAACTCAATTATATGCGCCATCTATGAACAAGTAGCACTATCGATATGCTAGACCAGACTAGACGTTCACGGTGCAACGGTTTATAACTTTGTTAAATTTCTTCTGATTTTAATTTGTAAGTAAAACTATTATCTTTATTAATCATGAATTGCAAAAATGCAAATGAAAAGCAACAGAAAACTAATAAATGACTAGAATCACAATGGAACTGAAAAAAGAGATTGTTGAGAAATATGAAGGTGGCATGCATGTTTGAGATTTAACTGTTGCATACTGTATTCTGAGAACAACAATATTGACAACCGTGAAAAATAAAGACATTATTAAATCTGCTAATGTTGCGAAAAGGGTTAAATCAATTTCTAAACAGAGATCGAAGACATTAGATCATGTTGAGAAATTGCTTTTGCTTTGGATAACTGAAAAACAGTGTGCTGGTGCTGGTGACAGCGTATCAGAAGCAATTATTTGCGACAAAGCTAAAAAGATACATGCTGATCTCATGAAAAATCGAGCGGAACTAGCCAGGAAAGCAAGGTGTTTAAAGCCAGCCATTTTTTTACATGAAAATGGATTAATCATTTTTACATTACTTCTTATGGAAAAGGTTGGTTTGGTATACGCCCTATTCGGTATAAGTCCAAACATCAGGAACGGATTAAGGTCGTATACCGAGGTTCCACTGTATA